CCCCTGGACCGGGGTTTGAACCAAGGACCTGCTCACTGAGAGGCAGCAGCTCTACCAGTTGCGCCACCATGCTGCCCTATTACAATAACAATAAACCTTTAATGATTTATTCAAAGGCGTTAATTCAAACTTTAAATAAAAAATAAGCTAGCAGCACAGAATTAGGCAACCAGCTGTAGTCATCATTGATGTGGCATCTATGGAGAAGTGCTCCATCATTACGTTTTATTCTCCTTCTTCCTGTGCGCCTAAGTGGAACGGGGCAATGTGGTCACTGGAAGCCTATTTCATGCTCATTCATTATGTTGTGGAATCCCTTAATTACTTCTGAGGTTAATTGTAGACTGACAGTCTGATGAACGTCATAAATAAAGTTGTACACCCACTACACCCCCAGTGCTGCTCTGACTGATCTGATAATGTGTCACACATGCAAGAACACACACTGTGAGGATTTCTTTTGTGTCATTTTCTCTTCCTGTAAACTACAAGTACACGTTTTCTGCCAGCATGCTGCAGCTTGTGAGTCCGTGTGCGTTCTGGGAGATCAGTCGGGGAGTTTAGTTTTTCTAGTGGGATCTGGTCGTTAAAGGTCATCTGTAAAATCATCCATGGTGACTCAGCTGCTTGTTGTTTGAAAGGTGCAAACATCTTATGTACTACAACGCTTTCCTTTTTGACCATGACAGCATATTTTGCAGGGTGTATTAAAAAAGTGAGAAAAGGGGACACGAGGGGGACAATAGAAATATATCAATGTCTATAAAGTCATATCTTTGAGAAATAGGGAAAAAGGCCAGCAAAGCTTTGGGGATCCACAAAAAAAAAACCAAAGCAAAACAAAATTTAAGCACGTAGATGTTTAACAACCTGTTAAAATACACCAAAATGCAGGAAATCACATCTACTTTATTCAAAATTTTCAGGGGGAGGACCCCCAGACACACCCAACCCCCCGGCCTGCCTGCTATTTACATTCTGGCATTGACCAGTTTACAAATGAAGCCCTGTTACTTGGTATGACTACAGCTGTTATGATTCTGTTCAGTAAAGTTTTAAAGTGATACTGTTAATTTTCTCAAAACTTTTTGGAAGCTGGAATTTAAAAAAATATATTAATTGTGTCTTGAATGAAAAATACCCAATGTTTAAAAGTGTAAAAATTGTATTAACAGTATTAAAGAACAGAGCTTAAATATTTATGTTGCATAAATGTTTCCATTGCGTTAAAGAGACAAATCGAAGAACGTTATTGCATAAACATGAGGGTTATGAGGGGTCCCTGAACCCAACAACGTTTGAGAACTCCTTCTTTAAAAGATTACACGAAACCCTGGCTTCTTGGAAGCCACATATAAAAACATGAGAGATGATTTAAGAACTTACCCAATGCTGCATATAATATAGTGCCCGGATATTTTAACAGAAAATCACATGTTCTTTGCTTGACCTGCTGCTTTCTCTGTCGTCTTGCTCTAAAACAAAACCTGCTGTTGTGCAGTAAAGCTCATATTCTTTTCTGTCATATAAATTAAACTAACTTCTAACTTACTAAAGGTTCTGACCCTTCATAGAGGGACCTATAAGTCAAGAGAATTATGGGTCTCTATGTGTCTGCCTGTCACTTGTACCACAGGGGGTGTAAACCCGAACTAATTTCTCCCACATGTCTGTCTCGTTAAAATAGGTTCAAAGCAACAGGACAAGTCTGTCCACCGTTGTCAGATTTTCTGCCTTTATAATTGAAGTCTTTTTTTTGTATTATTGTCTGTATTGATGCTCACAAATGTTTTTTTTTTTTGCAGCACATGTGGAAAACAAGGAGCAGTATATTGAGTTGCTGGAGAACTTGGGGAATAGCCACCTGACCCAGGACAACAATGAAATCTCCACAGGCTTCCTCAACTTGGCTGTGTTTACCAGAGAGGTCACAGCACTCTTCAAAAATCTGGTGAGGAAAGAAAGAGCAGATGGAAAGTAGAATGAACACAAGACCGAGTGATTCATAATAAAGGCAAAATATTTAGACAAGAACGACTGCAAACTTAAATTCTGGAGGGATTTGAACGTGATGCATTGAGACTTTTGACTCTGGAGGTCCGGAACTGTCCCATTGATAGTTTCTATGGCGATGATAATTCATCCCAGACCTCCATGTGTGATCCAGCACACAACACAATCTCCATGCACACTGCCTCCCAGGTTTCAGTCAGGGCCTCACAGCAGAAAAGTGCATCCAAAAGACTAAAGGAAAGGTTTTCCTTTTAAAGAAGTATGTAACAGAATCAGCATTGTCCTGTGCAGTGTGCATAGAAGCGTTCATGCATTGATCGTCTGTCATGTGTTGACACTGGGAGCTGGTATTTCCCCGTGGAAGAACTAAATGTATGATCAACTAGTTACCTCAGAGGTTGGCTGCCATCCAAAGCAGTCCTTCTGGTCTCCAGGCCTCTGTGTCAATACATGCAAGGTTAGCGCCGCCATCAGCTCCCGGAAATGGTTTGACATTATTTATCTCCAGAGTGGAAAGCAGCTTGGCAGTAATTCACCTTGAAAAACCTGCAGTGACATTTACAGAGACTTTAAATCTGCATGTGGTTAACTGGGAACTTATGGAAATAATTAATAATTTATGTACCATGACCTTAGCTAAAAATAATGATTTGATTTATCTGCAGGCCAGGGATTAGTGTTAATCATCTACATGTATTACTGTAAAGTGCAGCCTGTCGGGGTCATTCTTGGTGTTTTGTGATTCATTCTTTCCAGATCCAATAACGGTTCATGTTATTTCCGTTCACTTAACTTCAGCTCATTCTTTACTGTAACACAAACAGCACATTAAAGTGATTGCATCACTTGGACCTAAGACTTGTAGTGGTGCAGAGTAATGTCCAGGACTTTCTTTGGATGACTCACAAGTTCAAAATGTCTGCGTCACCGTGTTTTGGGGATTGTTCATTCCCATTCCCAAAACTGAAAGTCCATTGGGCAATACAGTAGAGTTGGCTGAATGAAATTAGCACTTTTTTGAGATTGCTCATCTCACTGGATGTGTGGTTTCCTCGCTCATTTGCTGCTTGTTTATATTTTTCAGGTGCAAAACCTCAACAACATCATGGCCTTTCCTCTGGAGAACGTGCTGAAGTCAGAACTCCGGGACAGTAGATTAGTGAGTAGGAAGTCTGTATCGCCCACTGCCATGAAAAGCGGGCAACCTGAGTATGTCTGTGTGTTTGTTTTCTGTTAGCAAAATATAAATATAAACCACTGGGCAGATTATAATGAAACTTGGTGAAAGTACTCATTGGATGTACAGCTACAACTGATTAACCTTTAGAGTCATCCTAATTCACGATGTCCCCCAAAGACAATAGACTTAAGCAAACACAAAAATGGTTATACCTCAGTTAATTCCTCAGATATTGAGCTATGATTTAGTGTGGTGGTAGCTGAGAGTCATGCCTAACATTTATACTAACAAACAACCCAATAACTTTTCAGTGAGAAGCCCCATTCTTGTATTTCGCCGATGTGGATGTGTGACAAAATTTTTGTATTTTTCTACTTTTACCAACCACCGACGTTACAACTAGTTTTCAAAACACTTTGCGGTGAGCGTTGTGTGACTGGTCAGAACTTTGTGGATGTTTGTTTATGTAAAGTGAAGGCAGTGAGCTGCTCTCAGGTCTGCTGAGGAGCTGCTGGCCAGGGCTGTGAGAAAATACAGCCAACATTACAACTGTTCCAGTAAAAATGATAAAGATAGTAAAATAACTTGTGGAAGGAGATGGGACAGCAAAGAGAACTGATGGCTCAACATTCTGTCCAAGTATAACCTTAAGATTTTGTCTCCAGGATTTCTTTCAATGAATGCTACTTTCAGTACATAAAGTACACATCCAACTTTCTCTCGCTAAATAAGAACTTGTTTAGAGAACCATCACTACCTGAAAGTGAAAATGAAGCTCCATCCATTTGAACATTTGACATCACTCTTCAAAACATTGACTTGTTGCAGAACATTATATTTGTATTAGAGACTGGGTAGTGGGATGTTTTTGGTTTCTACATCTAAAAAGACCAAAAAGGTGGAAATGATGAATAGAAACAAATATATTAAAAGTTTAGGCTGGATACAAAACTGACAACAAACTCATATAAACATGGATTTGTGGCTGTTTTGTTTCTTACAACCTGAATATTCTGCTCTTTGCATAGCTGAGTTTTAATATCGTAGACAAAAAGGGAATGTCTCACAGAAATGTTTTTATCAACAGTATGGTCAGATTATCTTTACCGTAATTTCCAGACTATAGAGTGCACCCGATTATAAGCTGTGCGCACTAAATAAAAAACTAGCAATTTTGTACTTACATAAGCCGCACTTGTGTATAAGCTGCGGGTGTTCACTTTGTAATATGAAATATTTACACAGAAAGATTTTTAAAACTTTTAATTAAATACGTACCAGTAACATACACAAATGTTATTTGCTGAAAAATGCCTTTAACACGGCTGGTTAAAAAAAAAAATTACAGTAGCGTACCAGGAAAAGTCACTGATCGCTATGTTCATCTTCCTCCTGTGCACTAAAACCACTGAAGTCGTCTTCTTCAGCCTCAGAATTGAACAGCCTCAGAAAACCTTCATCACACACGTCCTCTCTCTGTCATTGTCGAAAAAAATACAGTAGCCTACCAGGAAGTCATTGATCACTATCTTCATTTTCCTCCTGCAGCAAGTTTGTGATCTGTGGAGCAAAAGTTGCTCTGCACATGCAGGGGAGTCCCCCCTCACATTCTCTGTGCATGGGGAGGATCCCCCCACCCCTCGTTCTCCCCTCCCAGTTTCGTTGGTTCGACTGTGACCTGTTCAGTAATTTCATTGGTCAGGCATTTTTTAACCTTTATTTATACAGGTAGTCTCATTGTGTCACGAGGCCCCCCCAAGAGAGATCTGTATTGGGCAAGCTATGCGAGTGCCTGGGTGTGATGAAGCTAAATGTTTTTGATGGCAGGAAGCTCGTTAGCCCGTCAGGAAAAAAAAAATCCATAAATTAGCCGCAGCATTGTATTAGGCCTGTCACGATAAATTTTGCTGGGCGATTAATTGTCTCAGAAATTATTGCGATAAACAATAATATTGTTTGAAATTTGACAATAATTAGTAATGTCAATTTTAAGAAGAAATGTTGGTACATTTTTGTGTGTAGTACCTTTTTTGACCACTAGATGGCAGTACAAGACTGTTTGAACCAAAGGATGGATAGTGAGGGAGCGAGCAGCGCATCTCTTTAAGAAAAATAGGAGTTTAAATGGATTTAAAGAGAAGAGAAAGGGAGGGGTCAGTGAAGAGCACCAGAGTTGAGCTTTTTGTCATCCAGTGTCTTCAGTCGAAAGAGAGAGACACGAAGAAACGATAAAGCCGATAAATGAAAATGAGGTTGATAATTTTCATTTATCATGCGATTAATTGATTTATTGTTTATTTGGACAGGCCTAATTGTAAGCTGCGGGGTACACAGCCTGTGAAAAAGTAGCGACTTGTAGACCGGAAATTACGGTATTTACGCAGCTGCACAGTATTCATATAAAAAGGCAGCATCAGGTTTGTGGACTGTATTGTATTTGTGGATTATATTGACAAAAATCAAAGTACATTTTGAGGGTGAATTATTTTACTTTTAAATAAAAATCTTTCTGTCTGGGTTTGAGACACTGTTGAGCTGACTAAGACGATGGATAAAATGATGTTATTTATACAGATTAAGTAAGCTTGGGTATAAACTGAGCTACTTTCCAGTGCTGAACATTTCTGTCTCGCTCTGTTTTTGATTTGCCAACAAACCAGTAATAAGCTAATACCTTTTGTAAGCTCCTGTCACTGCCCTGACTTTAAAGAGATGATTGCTCTGCTGCGTTGAACTTCATGCTATAAGGAAGCATGGCAAAGTGCCACTGGGATCCTGTTTGGCAAGAGAAGCCAACTTTATGAAAGTCATAATTATGTCTCCATTCTCTTCTGTCAGGAACTCAAGAAACATATGGAGAAGAGGTGGAAGGATTACGACACGAAATTGTAATGAACCTTGTTTTGTTTTCTAATATTCTGCTGCTAAATTTGATTGCAGTAATGTTTATGATCTCAAGTATTTGAAATGTTAGGCAGATGTGATTTCTCTAGAACAAAATGATGTTTTAGTTGAAGTTACAACAGCATAGGCTGTAAGAGTAATACTTTATTCCTTTTAGGCATTCTGCATTAGTATAAAATATGGCTGAGGCATCGTTATAGCTGTAATTTGACATTATTAAGTATTTAATAATATCATAAGGAGGTTACACTTCTTCTTGTTTTTCCGTCAGCATCTTAGTCAAGGAAGTTCGTTTTTAGACTAAACCAGACAAGTGGATATATTCAAAACAGGTGACACATGCACATGAAAAAGAATAATCTTTTGTCTGTTTTATTTTTGTCTTTCCTTCTCCTTCCCCCTCCTCAGAGGGAAGCTGGAAAAGGAGAGGAAGGAGAAGACAAAGCAGCTGGGGTTGATCAAGTCAGAGGGATCGGACGGAGTGGAGGACATGGAGAGAGAGAGACGGATCTTCCAGCTGCAAATGTGTGAGGTGGGGGGATCAGAGCCAGTGAAAATATTCAACCCAGACACTTTTTGCTTACCTGCAGCAGGTTTCTTTTAGCTCATATGGGTGGTCTGCTTTACAGATTCTTTTTTCCATCTATCGTCAGCTTTTTCTGTCTCAAGAGCAGTTATAAAGACATTTCAGAAAGTCAAGTAAAAATGATAGCTGTAGCTGTTACAGAAGAGATCCAGTAGAACTGGTTTATAGGTATTTGAACATTTCTTCTTGAAAAGCAAAAACATGTGTAGTTGATAAACAAATTGAAGGAAAATGTGGAGAATCACACTGACGGTGTTGTTTGCTCACAGGGAGTAGAAATCAGCTGACTGACTTCACCTAGCATGCTGTCGCTGAGAGAGCTAACGCCACTTCCAACTCTTATAACTGCAGAGGAAGTCAACAAGCACCAAATTACCATGAAGCTTACCAGACGAGTAGGATTTTAATTAAAAACCAGCCCAAGCGGAAGAGGCAGGAAGGCTGCGAATCATTGCATCAATAGCTGGGAGGCCACCCGGGAGCCCCAGAGAGGAGCCATGCTTTTCCAGGGATCTCCGTGTGTCCCTCGTCACTCCTCTGAGACTTTAAGACGACTAACCTGTGAGGAAGGCTTCTTAAAACCCCGTGTTAGCTTAGCTAGTGCATTAAAGGCCAGTGCAAAGAATATAAACCAAGAGAAAACTTACTCAGGATGAAAAAAAGGAGCCCCGGAGTCTCAGTCAAAAGTTACTGCTCGCAGCCAGACTTTATTTAAAAAAGGGCGCAGTGGAGGTTGTTATGATTCTGTTGTTTGGTAGAACCCGTGTGCAGGCAGGACTCGGAGAACTCAGGATTAAATGAAGGGTATATTTTTAATAATTGAAATCAAAGCTGACGTGCAGCAAACTTGCATAATCACTGGGATGACGTGGAGGAATACAAAACCATAACGCCATTCAGGACAATGCACGGACACGGGGGACGTAGAGACGCAGGCTTAAATACAAAACACTAACGAGGGGATAAAACACAAACACCTGAGGGAGGGCGGCAGAGGCAGGAGTTGATCACATGAGGGATAAACACTGAGGAGAGCAGGACAGACGACACAAGGATCACAAAACGCACACAGATCCTCTCATAGGTTACTTAATATTTCATCCTAAAACTCAAAATAAAAGACAAAAAACAAACCGTGACTAATAATGCAAGTGCCTTTTGTCATTTTTCTTTCGGCTGCTCCCTTCTGCAGGGGGAGCCAGCAAACGTGCATGACAGATTTGGCAAGAATTTTTCACCAAATGCCCATTCTGATGCAACTTTGACTCAAACCTGCAGCCCACTGAGCCACTGCAGCCCTTAGAATAATGCAAGCTCCCGAATGGAGTGATATTCTGCAGCAAAAGGCTCCCTCTGCATGTGCTTCTCATGTTTTGTTTAACATATTTGATCAATCATAAGCAAAAGAAACAATGAATACAGTATGTTTCCTTCCCTCCTCTGTTCACACAAATACAAATATTTATTACAACGCACATACGCAGTTTAAAACTTCACTGCTGCTAGTAGAGACAGGTGGATTCAGACTGTGTTTAATGGTGCAGATCGTGTTATCTCGTTCTGTGAAGTCTTTCATTCTTTCAAGTTCAGTGAGCGCTTGGAGTGTTGAAATGAGATAAATGACCTTTGAACCCACTTAAAGTTACAAAGTGTGCAGCCAAACACAAACATGTACAGAACAGGATCTATTACGTCTCCGATGTGAAACGTTTGTTTTTACTGCTCACAATTTTGACTTCATGCTCTTTTTTTTCTTTCAAGCTTTACGGTTTAGAGCATCCGTTTGAACTCTTTATGTTTCTGTTTTTAGTATCTTTTGAAGATCCAGGAGCTGAAAGTGCGTCAGGGTCCCGACCTTCTCCAAAGCCTCATCAAGTTCTTCCAGGCCCAGCTCAGGTCAGTCTCAGCTAACTTTTTTAATGTCAGATAGCTCATCTGAAATAGGTTGAAGCTGGCAGAAAACCATGTGGATCTGATCAGAGCTGTGCTCAGAGGGGAACTGTGCACATGTTTTGAAGCTAGTTGGCTTGGATGCGTTCTGTTAACCATTGACGCACTTTATGTGGGAGCTGAGTATATACATCATGAGCATGTGATGTTTTTGTTGCTGAGAACCAAAATGTTTCATGACTCATCACTTCTCGTCTGATTTCAGTTTCTTTCAGGATGGGCTGAAAGCTGCAGAGAATCTCTCTCCCTTCATTGAGAAACTTGCTTCCTCTATTCACACGGTAAACAGCAGCTGTTGTCGTTTTTATCTTCCTACAGCTTCTTCATTCTGTGGATAAAATCTTTTTTTTTTTATTATGGGAATTTCCCTCCTTACCTGATTCACACAAGAGGAAATGTACGACATCTGTCCTCACTTTATGTCTCATTACGTCCTGTTCATGCATAAATATAAGGTTGTGCCTTAGAAAATACTTCTTTTTATAAATAATGTTGAAACAGAAATAAATAATATTTATGCACAATAGCTGCAATTGTGCACTGTAGTTTATGATAGCTTTAGTAGTATTACCCAGCTTTGCTCTGATTTTGGAGGAATAAAAGTCAAGTTGGAACAACTTGGTCTTTGTGCGTTCTTCCGACTAACTCGAACTGATGCTATCCCAGAATGCCACACATGCACAAACCTCACATATTTGAGTTATCTTGCCTTCAATCTAACCAGCCGCACACTCACTTAGGCATTTTTTTGTTGTTTTTATTTCCTATAGAGACACAAAAATGGATTGTACTTTGTCATAGATAAAGTGCACAAAAGCTTTTTTCACTGTCTTAGTTCCTTCTTTCTGGATTAGTTTCTCTTTTACTGTCAAAACAGTTAAAACCAAAGTCTGTTTCCTTTCTGTTTACACTCCCCACCCCCCAAGTTAAACTTACAGAATATACTGTTATTGACCTCACTTTCCATGTTCATAGCTGAAATGTTCCCTTGTTTTCATACTTTCCCTCCCGCATGCCTGTTTCTTCAACCACTGGTCTCCAGTTTGGTTTCCACTTTGCTTTATTCCCAGTTTCTGGGCAGAGCTGTGGAAACAGGCAGTTAGCTGTGATCCTGGGAGCGTTACATGTTTTTCTGGTTGATCCAAGGCAGATCTCTGACCTGTTCAGACATGAACTGTTCAGCCTTAAGAAGGAAATGCAGGTCAAATCTGCACCACCGTACCAGAAAAATAAAACTGAAATAATTTCACTAAAACTGACTGATGTGAGATTGGCCATATTACTTCTTAATTTAAAAAATGTATATAAAAATAATGAGCTCTGCTTAGCATTATTTTAGGGCATTACACAAAACTCCCATGTATTGTTGTTCCACACCCAGATTAAATAAAATAATTATTTTTCTTTCATATTTCTATTTTTTTCATTAATTTTTCTTAGAAAATGAATTGAGCTCATTTTCCATCCTTCAAATCTTTAGATCTGTTTACAACATTTTCCTGCTCCTTTCACATTTTGTTCTGCTTCAGCTTCTTTCAGCTTCCTTCTGCAAATCTAAACATTTGTTTCAGCTAATTTCAGCTGTTTTTTTAGCTGTTTTGTGCTCCTTTCAGATTCTTTCTGCTAACTACAACTTTTTTGTACTTCTTCTAATTTCTTTCTGCTAATTTCAGCTTGTTATACTCCTTTCAGCTTATTTCTGCAAGTTTCAGCTTTTTCTGCTATTGCAGCTACGGTACTATTTAGCTGTTTTTATGCTAATTTTAGCCTTTTCAGCTAATACCACATTTTTTGCACTCATTTAAACTTTTTTCAGCCTAATTCAGCAAAAATGTGCTCTCCACTTTCTTCTAGTAATTTAAGCTTTTTCTGAATTTTTAGCTACTTCTCAGCTGTTTTTGGCTAATTTCAGTTTTTTTCAGATAATTTCCTCTTTGTTGTGGTTATTTCTGCTTCTTACAAACTAACTGGGCAAATATGTGTTCTTTCTGCCTTCTTCTGCTAATTTAAGCTTGTTCTACTGTTTCAGCTGCCTTTTTTTTTAGCTTTTTATTTAGCTAATTTCAGCTGTTTTCAGATAAATTCAAGTTTTTCTTGGTAAATTTTGCAACTTTCAACCGAATTAACTTCTTTGTGGTGATTTCAGCTTGTTATGCTCCTTTCAGCTTTTTTTATGCTAGTTTAAGCTTTTTCTGCTCTTTTCAGCTACTATTTAGCTGTTTTATGCTAATTTCAGTTTTTTCAGCTAATTCCACATTTTTAGTTAATTTCAGCTCTTCCCATTTGCTTCTGGTAGTTGAAGATTCTTTCTGCCTTTTCAGCTACTTTTCAGCTACTCTTTGCTAATTTCAGCTTTTGTTTTTTAGCTAATTTCCAAATTTTTCTGCACATTTTTGCTAACTTAAACCTACCGTAATTACCGGACTATAAGCTGCTGCTTTTTTCACATGCTTTGAACTCCGCAGTTTATATAATGCTGCAGCTATTTTATTTAAATTTTTTTTGACGGGCTAACGAGCTTCCTGCCGCCAAAACATTTAGCTTCATCACACCATGCTCACATAGCTGCCCAGTACACGTCTCTCTTGAGGGGTGGGTCCTCATGACTCAGTAACACTACCTGTATAAATAAAGGTCAAAAATACAATTTGACCAATGAAATTACCGAACAGGTCACAGTGGACCAATGAAACTTTGAACTACCGTAAATGAAATGCACTCTCACTAAATTCTTCAGGTCAGTCATTTTGCACTTCATGAACACCCTCCTCATGGAAAACACATAAAAAAAAATGCAGATGATGCAGCTTTCAAGTTAAATGCGATCTGTCGAAGAAGGAAATACAGCTGCTGCACATAAACTAAGCATTTCCTGGTAGGCTACTGTATTTATTTATTTTTAACCAGCCTCGTTACAGGCACTGTTCAGCAAAAACTTTTACTGTACGTATTTGCATATGTTACCAGTACATATTTAATTAAAAGTTTTAAAAAATCTTTGCATAAATATCTCCTGTTACAACATGGACACCTGTGGCTTATAGACATATATATATATATGTACAAAATTGAATTTTTCAAATTTATTTAGTGGGAGCGGTTTATATTCAGGTGCGCTCGATAGTCCAGAAATTACGGTAATTCAGCAAATATACACTCTTTCTGCTTTTTTCTGCTGATTTAGGCTTGTTCTATTTCAGTTACAATTCAGCGTGTTTTTTTTAGCTAATTTCAGCTGTTTTTCAGCAAGTTCTTCAACTATAAGCATTCACACTGTATTTTCGCAGGAAATGCATTTTCTCCAGTTGTTATTGTGTTTAACAATCTTATGGTGCTTGTTGCAGATGCGTTTGGAGCAGGACGAGGAGGTCAAACAACTCACTCAGCTGAGGGATTCTCTTCAATTACTTCTGCAAGTGGACGGCAAAGAAGTATGCACATTTCTAAAGTTTCATATGTGTAAAACTCATTAAAATACTTTTCTATTTAGTGGGTTTATTGTTCATCCTAATTTAATCAGTTTAAGAACAAAATGATTGCAGGTGAGAGCTGATCAAAGTGTTCTGTTTAGCTGCAATTGTTCTGTCTTGCTTTTTAAACTTCTTCATCTGCAGCACTGATGTGATGCTTTCAAAGTGAAGTCCTACATCCCTGTTTGTTTCCCAGGAATATCTGAACAGGAAGAACTCTGGCAATGGGTACAGCATCCACCAACCACAGGGAAACAAGAAGTATGGCACTGAGAAGTCTGGCTTCCTGCTGAAGAAAAGTGATGGGTGCGTGAAAAGACACGGTTTTAAGAAGTTCCAAAGAAGAGTAATGATGGTGGGATTGTTCAAACTGTAACTAAAGACAAGAGAAGAAGCTCTGCATTGTCGCTGCTGTTAGTACAAACAAAGTGTGGATTATCAGGGGAACCTGTTTGAGCTCGTAAACTTTAGCCAGCTTTGTCACAGATTTTTACATTTATATTTCAAAGTGAACACAACTTAAAAAGAATCAGAAGAGATCAGGGTCGTTTCAAGAGTGAGCGAATGTAACACAAACTGGGAACGGCCGACTCAGCTCTGCCTGCCCCATCTGGTCTTCATTACTGTGAGATGAATAGTCGAGCGGGGCCCCTCCTTACGAGCTTTTTGGCAGAGTAGCTGAGCAGATCCAGCTTTTTCTGTCTCACACACACACAGAGCCAGAGTACTGTGTGATAAGAAGGGGGATGTGGTTCAGTAGGGCAAATGGAGGAGAGTCAATTCTCAGGTCACAGACTGAAAACATAACTCATATTCAGTGTTTCCGTCAGGATGAAAACACTGCGCATGATTAAATGTACTGTAGTATATAGATCATACTACTAGCTCGTAGGGTGTTGCACAGAACTCAGGATGGTATCAGTAAAGTCATAATATCCTAATTTCTCTCATTAATCCTGCATCCTGTAGGATCAGAAAGGTTTGGCAGAAGAGGAAGTGCGGAGTCAAATTTGGGTGCCTGACTATTTCACACAGTACGGTGAGGAGTATTCACAAAACTTAGCTACATGGAATAAAATTTAGCAAATGTATATGCGTAAAACACAATTTCTCTGTATCTATTTTGGATGTTTGCTTGTTTTCAGATCAATCGACCACCAGCGAAGCTGAACCTACTCACCTGTCAGGTCCGGCCCAACCCAGAGGACAAGAGGACTTTTGACTTGGTCACTAGTAAGTTCTTCTGCATATATTTTTTCTTAATAAGAGCATGAAAGGCAGCTGTGTTGAAGCGTGCCTCTTTGGTTTATCAATAACAGAAATAAAGATCGTGACATTGTGTGAATGTTTATGAAGCGTTCACACTATTATGATCCATTTTTCTTCCGTACGTTTTTCAGCATCTTGCTCGTTCCACAACTTTTGCGCTATTTCAACAAATCACGTATCAAAACGTTCAGCTCGTTCAGGAGAAAGGTGCTCTGACTTTTGGTATTGGTGCAACTTTAGCTTTTTGAAATACAGCAGTCCCTCATTTATCGCTGGGTTTAGGGGACCACACCCCCTGCGCTAAGTAAAAACATCACAATGGAGGGACACAGTAGTCCATGTCCAAGTTCAAGTAAACTTTATTGTCATTATCAGCTCATGTGGTACATGAGATGGAAGGAAATTATGTACATAAGTAGTACAGTAGTCCCTCGTTTATCACGGGGTGTCCGTACCCTGAAGACCCGCGATAAGTGAAAAATCGTGAAGTAGGATTAGTAGTACAAGTAGTAAATAGTAGTTTATTTTAGTATATTATATATTAAGACATTTTAAACTCTTCCCACACTCTTGCAATATTCTAAACAATGTTTCTAAACTCTAAACGCTCTAAAAGAGCACAGCGTGTTAAGATCTGCGCTCTCTGCCACGCCCACTTCTGGCTGTAATCACACTCGTGCTCATCACTCCCAATCTTCCTCCTTCTGTGTTAATAAACAATTTAAATTTAAATACTGTACTGTAATAGTTTAAATAAACAATCCATGGCGCATGAGCAGCTTTATTTTAAACAATCAAGCGCGACCGGAACCGAGCCTTTAGTCCCTTTCGGCGAACGGCCAGGCCACTGGGAAATATCCTGATGCTCCAATGGACAGTTCACCCATAACCTGCTGCAGCAGGTGCTAAATTATTTTAAACAATTTATTTTAAATAATTTTGGACCTGTGATTGTGCTTTTATTGAATATTTTTGTGCACTGCCCTTGTCTGATGCCTCATGCCTGAAGACGTCTGCTCTGCCTTCAGACCACCTGTGGTCGAGCTGTACAGACTACAGACAGCTGACTTTCTCCTCCGTTTTATCACGAGAAGACAGTCAGCTGACAGCGCTGATGCTGCTGTCAGTGGCTTCTTCATCTATCGGGCGTTGCAGCGCTGTTGTTGCCTGACAGCAGCACTGCATCAACAAGAAGTGGGCGTGGCAGAGAGCTGCAGGTGGCAGAGAGCAGAGATCATGACATGCTGTTGGAGGGAACTTCTCACTTCACCTGTGGGCTGTACACAGGTGCAGCAGGTGCTAAATAATTTAAAATAATTCATTTTAAATAAAAAATCCATGCCGATTGTGCAGCTCATCCATCCATCAGCCAATTGTGTGTCATGTCCAATCTTATTTTGAAAAACCGCAAAAGAGTGAATCCGCGAAAGTCCAATCGTAAAGTAGTGAGAGACTACTGTATTTAGTCTTTTCTGCCTCTTTCCTAATAGAAAATGAATTGAGCTCATTTTACATCCTTCACATCTTTAGATCTGTTTACAACCTTTTACTGCTCCTTTTACGTTTTGTTCGGGTTCAGCGTCTTTCAGCTCCCTTGTGCAAATTTAAACATTTTTCAGTTTTTTTCAGCTAATTTCAGCTGTTTTGTGCTCCTTCCAGATTCTTTCTGCTAACTACAATGTTTTTGTGCTTCTTCTAACTTCTTTCTGTTAATTTTAGCTTGTTATGCTCCTTTCAGCTTATTTCTGCTAGTTTATTATTTCAGCTATTATTTGCTGTTTTAAGCTACTTTTTTAGCTTTTTCAGCTAATTCCACATTTTTGGAGCTCATTTCAGCTCTTTCCATTTTCTTCTGGTAGTTTAGGCTTCTTTCTTCTTTTACAATTACTTTTCAGCTATTTTTTAAGCTAATTTCAACTTTTTTTTGCTAATTTTTGTGCTTATTTCTGCTTATTTAAACCAAATTCAGCAAATATGTGTTCTTTCTGCTCTCTTATAATCTAGTCTTCTTCATTTTAAGCTAAAATTAAGCATTTCTTTTAACTAATTTCAGCTGTTTTTCAGCAAGTTCTTCTGCAACAAGCATTCACACTGAATTTTCTCAGGAAATTAAATTTCTCTAGTTCACTTTTTGTTCCACAAGGCAATTTAGATTTTTCTGCCAACCATATTTACATATGTTCTTTTATGTGCAGGTACCCGCACATATCATTTCCAGGCAGAAGATGAGCAGGAATGCATGATGTAAGCACCGAAACATCTGTGGGCCACATCATAAGCCTATTTACCTTGAAGCTCATATTTGTCATTATTAAAGTTTAACTCCTTTTAACCTAAACACAGCCTGCATTGTAGAAACTTTGAAATGCAGAAACTTTGAAATGTTCTCATAAGTT